AAATAAAACAAATTTGTTTCTTTAGCATTTTACTCATATTCATCTACACACATACATACACACACCCTTTGGTAATAACACCAACTAAATACTTTATATAATAGCAAATTTTGTATGGACTCGAGTACTATGCTAGTGTCCTTTTTGTTGCTAGCACTTCCTTTTTTATATTTTGTTCTGTTCTATTGTTTTGTTTGAAATCCTTTGTATTAAGGTTATTTAATATGGAACATATATAAATATATATTGGTTCTATAGGTGGTTGATGTTAAGATGATGTAAGAAATTTGTCCATTTTTTTCTATTTTGTTATCATTATTATTGTATTAATGAAGTACAATTATAATTAAAATTAAATAATTACCATCAAAATGTATAATAAATTAGATGCAGAGATTTAAAGGTATTGAAAATTGAAAATGTATACATTGTTCCTATATTACGTAAATATTTTAATTTCAAAACAATTAATACCTTTAGCAAACTGCCTGAAATTTGTAATCCTGAATTGGCATTTTCGTACACACAGACACATTGAAAACATCCTTTAAAATTTTACACATTTCTGCTATAAATATGATAATCTTATATACAGCATATAAAAAGGGATTAAATGTTTTTACAAATGTGTTCATACATATGTATGAATTTTTCTAACTGAATGACTATTTGTCTGTCTGTTTTACTATATGTGTTGACTTTACAATCCATTTCCTATTAAGCCATTCTAACTAAACTGTTAATAATTTGTAAGTACAATAAATGTTTGCAACATTTAGAAGCATTTAGTCGAAAATAATTGCTAAAATAAAAAATGTTTAACAAAAAATGGCAAAGCATTATATATTTGCATTAGCACTTTGCAGTCATTGTTTAAATGATTTTAAATAAATTTATATTCGTTTAATTTTTTTTGTTTTAAATCCACAGGATTTTTACTAAAAGTTTAACATTAAAATTCGGTATTAAACGTTGGCATTTAGGGGAAAATGTTAATTGTTTAATAAGCTTTAAAATTAAAATATATGTTTCTAAAAATAAACAAAATATTAAATTTTTTTATTAACTTTTACTTATGAAAGTTATATGTACAAATATTTTTAAAATAGCCAGTTTTTATTAAAAATAAATTAAGTTGAAATTTAATATATTTCACTAATATTCCAGGAACTTGTACAACAAATAATGTATACCTTTATGAGTTATTATTTTAATACATTTCGCGGTTTATTTTAGAGTATTAATTTTGTCAAAGTTTTTATTTTCGCAAATGTTCCAAGAACTATTCTTACTTTTATAAGATTACATAAATTTAGGCAGTTAAAAAGGTAGTAGTAGTAATTGTTTCAATATATTTCTCAAAGAAATCATATTTTAAAGCTGTTAAGCTGCTTTAAAATTATTAATAGTTTCAATATTATTCGCAAATATTCCAAGAACTATTCTTATTTGTATCTTTCGCGATCATTCTAAGAATTTGTACAAGAAAAATTCATACTTTTAGGAGTAATTTTTGAATAATATACTTTTTGAATTTATCTTCTTATTAGTTCAAAGAACACACCTTTTAAAGCTGTTTTTTCGCGAATATTCCAGGAACTAGTATTACTTCTACAAGAAAGCAATAATTGTTTTATATGTATATTTCTTGAATTTATACTGCTATTTGTAGGAATAAAACATATTTTAAAATGATTTTAAAAATATTAATTATTTCAATGTTTTTTTCGCAAATATTCCGGGAACTATTCTTGTATAAGAAAGCCTATAATAAGGCAATTAAAAAGTTAATAGTAGAAGTAATTGTTTTAATAAAATTCTAGAATTTATATTCTTATTTCTACAAAGAAAACATATTTTTAAGCTGTTAGAAAAAATGTTCGCAAATATTCCAGGAACTATTCTTAGTAGTAAAATAAAGCCTTCTATTATGTTGTCAAAAAAAGACAGTAATGAAATATGAAAGACAGAAATTGTTATTAAAATCTTTGAAAACTAAAGTTTTAAACACATTCATGTCTTTCAATGATCAGATTATGACATATTATGAATGTAAAATAAAAATTCTGGGAATATTCTTGAAAAAATTTTAATTTTATATTAATTTAAAAATTTATCAAAAAAATGACAAATTATTATTTATTTTAGTTTATTATTCCAAGAATTTAATTTTTTTTCTACAACCAAAAATTTTATTCATTAAACTTTAATCGTAAATTTCATCAATATTTACAAACAAATTTGTAATTAAGCAGAAAAATTATGTGTTTAAAAATACAAACATAGTAATTCCATCAAAATATTTAAACATTCATAAAGCTACATTAATCAATTTTATTATCTAAACTAGACGCCCCAAATGCAAAGAAAAAACCCTTAAAATATACTAAATAATTAAACGATTACTCAACGACTTTGTTAAGCTTTAATTAATCATTCATACAGTTTTTGACTTTTGGGCTAAAAACCTTTAATGTACAAAATACATTCATTGTAAAAGATGTTAAATGTGATAAATTTATCAAAAAGGTAAGCACACGTCAACTAAAGCGCCAATTTAAAGAAGCCCTACTTACACTCACTCATTCATTTACTCCCTGGCTGACTGGCTGGCTGTCAAATACACACGCTTACACGAGCCACAAACGCGGGAGGATCCGCTTTTATCTTGATGGCTTCTTTTTGTGTGTATTTTTTGGGTTTTTTTTTAATTTTTAAATAAATGTGTGTACATCACTTTAGCACTTGCCAGATCTTTATCTGTTCAAAAATATATAAAAAACCAACAGGGTTTCTTTAGGTATTTACCACTACCAATAAAACAGAAATGTAAGTATGTTTTCAGGCCAAAAGGGGGAATATTTATATAATTTCTGTTAATATAATGAAAATGATCATTATTAACAGACGTTAATACATTTAGGGGTTTGTTTTTTTTCTCGAAGTTTTAATTTAAGCAACTTTTGGTTATATATTTTTGTTAAACTGCTTAAAAAAGTAACTTGATCCTTGATTATATTTTAACATAAATTTTTGTAAGGCATTTGTATTTAATATTAAAGTTATTAAAATGACCTTTAACGTTTTACATTTTACATTTATGGGTCACTTTTAAGTACTTTTAAATTGTAGGGGTGTATTATATTTTTTTAATTAACAATATTTCTTTATTTAAATTTATCAGCTGTTAATAAAATTTTGATCGTTTGTCCTTTCTTTAAGTGAAATTCAATAGGTTTTATAATTATTTTTGAAACAATTACACAAATTTAAATATATCAAGTTTTTTCCAAGAAACACTTAAAGTGTTTGTAAAATTATACAGCGATTAACATTGAACAATTTGTTTGGATTTTATTATCTTTTCGATCTAAAAGATTTATAAAATTCCAGACATTTTTCTTAGTAGTTGCTACTTACAGGTGAATTGTTGAATTGGCTATGGTGTAATATGATTTTTAAGGGATTTAGTCTGATGACAAATTCTTTAAAATTTACTGGAGTTTTGTTAATTTTGTCATTATGCAAAAATATAGATATTTTTCTCAAGTAAATTTTCAAAATTGTTTTATTTTCTAATAATTCTGTAAACAAGTAATTTTTCTATATTTAATTTGAATTAAAAAACAAATATTTGTCTTATACATACAAAAAACTAAACATTTCTATGTTAGCCCAAAAGTATGCTTTTGTTTTATAAATTACTTCAAATTTGTAAAAACGAGTTCTTGAAATATGCTCGAAATCATTTAGAAATGTCAAAAAAAACATAAACAAATAAGATTTAATAATGTTGGTTCAACTTTTTAATGTAAACCTGAAAGTATGCTTTTGTTATGTAAATTATTTAAAATTTGTAAAAACAAATTCTTGGAATATTCGCGAAACAAATTAGAAATGTGAAAATAAACATATTTCTTTAAATTTATGAATATTGAATAGAATCGATATTTCTCACAATGTTGCACCGAATTCAAAGAATTCATTTGATTTTTTTTTTAATTTATAAATATTGTTCAAACATTTTTATGTTTTCCAAAAAATATGCTTTTTGTTGTGTAAATTATTTCAAATTTTTAAAAACAAATTCTTGGAATATTCTCGAAACAAATAAGAAATGTGAATATTGAAAAGAATCGATATTTCTCACAATGTTACACCGAATTCAAAGAATTCATGTGATTTTTGTTAATATATAAATATTTTTCAAACATTTTTATGTTTTCCTAAAAGTATGCTTTTTGTTATGTAAATTATTTCAAATGTGTAAAAACCAATTCTTGGAATTTGAAAATAAACATATTCTTTTAATTAATGATAAATTTTATAAATTTTTGTTAACCACGTTTACCACTTTATACTTTTAAGAGAATTTTCAAATCATGTACATGTACTTTCAACAAATCCCAAAAGTATACCACACTATCAAGCATACAACTGAACATTTAAACAAAAAAAATCTCAGAATATTCTCGAAAGCTATTAAAATCATATACCAATCTTAGATCAGTAAACTATTATGAATGCAAAGTCAAAAATTTTAAAATTTCCATAACTTTAAATAACTTTTCCTATTTAGAGTAAAATTAAAAAATTTACGTAAGCCTAAAAGCATGCCACTATTAGAGCATTACAAATAATTTAACAGTTAAGTGAAGAGATTCCCAGAATATTCTCGAACGAAACTAAAATCCGTTATTATTCTCAAATTTGAAAGCTAAAATAATAACCATTTTTATGTAAGCCTAAAAATGAGCTCTCTTTTTGAAAACAATAAACAAATTCTAGGAATACTCGCGATAAATAAGAAATCACAATCATTACTTTTAATTTTATTTCTCATACTGAAACGTCCCAAACCATAAAATGGACTCGAAATAGTTAATATTAAAAAAAAATTCTAGCTCTGAATATTATAAAAATATTTAACACGAAATTTACTTCACAAAATCTTTATGATTTTAAAAAAGAAAAATTCCCAAAAAAAAAAAAACTCTTACCTTGACAACATGGCAGCATCTTGTGGTCCTCCAGCGCCTACCGTAGCCGGCGGCAATTGCGGTATGGGTGTAATTAAATTAGAACCATTCTTTTTCGGTTCATTGCGACTTAAAATGGAGGAAATGGAAAAACTAGTGAAACCATTGCCCGATGTGACTTTATTAATATTGCCATTTAAAGCTGCCGCTGCTGCTGCAGCAGCTGCTGATTGTTGTTGTTGACCGCCAGCGGTATTTGTTTCATTATTATTTAACATCTTTGAATTATTATTATTGTTATTTGTTTGTGATTCTTCGGTAGTGGTGGATTCGGGTGATTTAGGAGCCATGGCAGCCATAGCCGGTGGACTAAGACGTTCACTATTGAGAGCATTGGAAAAATGATGTGCCGCCGCCGGTGTTACAGCAGCTGGATGTAGTAAATGTTGATGAGCAGGATGTGTTAAATGGCCAAAACTGTGCAGAGCATGATGCAGAGCTACCGGATGGCCAGCATTTAAAGAATTCAAATGATGCTGTAGGTGATGATGTAAAACTGTTGGTGGCACAGCTGCAGCCATAGTGGTGGGACTGTGGTGATGATGATAATTGGAAGTGTTTGATGTGGGTGTGCCTGCGGCTGTAGTGGGTGTATGATTGGAGTTGGGCGTTGAGGCACCATGTGAACGGGCCGGTGAGTTGGATCTGAGAGGCGTTTCATGACCCTCTTGACCACAACCCATGGGACTGGGTTCGGGACTAGAGACCACACTGATATCAACTTCATGTTCAGAGGAAGACATGATTGTATTTGTTATTTGTTTCTAAGTTGTTTATTAATTAATTTTTAATAATTTTTTTTTTTTTTTTAACACAATAATGGATTTTTTTAAATGATTTTTTAATTTCTCATTTTATTATTTCTTTCTAATTTTGATTTAAACTTTTTTTTATAATATTCTTAAAGGTGTTCTTTCATTTGTACACGTTTTGTTTTTTTCTTATAGAGATTTCTTTTTATAAATTTGAAAATTGTTTTGAAAAAAAATCTTTAGCTATTTTTATCCGTTATTAAAAATGTATACGTCCTTTCACGATCATCAATGTTTTACATTTAAATCGTTCATATCCTTTGTTGTGTATCCGTAACCGTTAACAAACGTTTACTGTCGGTCTACTCTCGCTTGACAGAAAGACAGACAAACCAGCGAAAATTCTATACACACACTTTTTTTTACATTCAAACTTCTACAAATATATTATCCTTGCTAGAATTATATCCTTTTTTTTGTGAAAATTCTATTGAGCACGTTATAGTTTTTGGTGTGTTTATGTGTGAGTGTTGTATGGGTGTGTGAATGTTTGTTGATTGAATAAATTTTAGTTAGAGAGAGTGTGTAAAAATGTTTTTTTTTTTAGAGGATTTTCAACATCAAATAATTGTTGTTTTATTTTTTGTTTTCCACAATTGTGGCCCCTCTCTTTTATTTAATATTTGCAAACTTTTTTTTCTTAGTTAAACGTTGTAAACCGTTTTATATCGAAAATTCGTTTCTTTTTTTTTGTAAAATAAAGTTTTAGTTGAGTTTTTGATGACGTGTTTGTCTGTTTGTGTTTAAAACACAACTGAATCTAAGGTGGTTGGTTTAAAATTCTTTTAGTCTTTTGCCAACACTACCCAAAAAAAAAAAAAATACAAAATAGCACAGACACACACACAAATGTTTAAGCGTAAAAATGGTTTTTCACTATTAGTCCACATCCATACACACACTACCACCACCTTTTGTTACCGTTTCTACAGACAGGAAAATGTTCTCAAAACACACAAACAAATACAATTGTAGCAAAGACAAAGACTCTTTTGCCACCTTGTTTTCTTTCCATTCTTCTATTTGTAGCAGAGGGTTGGTTTTTGCACTTAACTATTGCGAATCCATTTTTCCAAATGAGTAAATTATTTTTTTTTTCTTTACATCACCCCTCTTTACTCAGCGTTTTAGTTGAAGTTGGATTCACTCAGTTCTATTCTGCTTAAGTGTTTCAATTCCATTTTGCCAACGAGTTGTTTTTCATTACACAGATTTATTTTGTCTTCATTTCCGTTTCCCTGTTGTTTATCAATTCTATATATTCGTTTGACTGTGTTTTTTTTTAACGTATGTATATATTTCAATATATTTTTCTTGTAAAAAGCATTAAATCAATCATTTAATATACAAAAGGTCAAGTGTTACACTATTGCAACAATAACTTTATTTTTCATTTAAGGACAAAGTGATTGTGTTGCTTTTATACTTCCTTGAACAGACAGAAATGCCAATATGTCTCTAAGCCAAAGAGAATAAACTGTTACACCGAGCAAAATGCTAACATGTGTTACTAAATACTAGCTCTGATGTGGCCCTATATATGGGGTTTGAATCAAGTATTGATCGAACCTCTCAGTGTAACAATTTATTTATCTTTATATCCTTTATTCATGTGATAAGTTTGTGATTCTTCGTATTGATTGAGAAATCGATTTGACGATGTCTGTCTGCCGGTATATGTGTTTAAATACATTTTCTTATATCCCGAGATATATGTTGTTAAGAACCCAAATTTTGAATCATACTATCAGATATTTTCATTTATGAAACCTATTAAATCGACAAAAGCGATCACAGATTTTCAATATATTCTCTTATCCTTGTTTATTCACATATAATAAGCTGACAGGTGTCTGGTACTTTTTCGAAATTCGGTTATTTTTAGGAGCAAACGGGTAAAAACTGCACTTTGAAACTTTTTTGGACCACATTTTAATTACAAATGTAAATTTCTTACTTTTGGGAAATTTGGGCCTTTAAGGGGTAAACGTAGTTATAAGTTACTTTATATTAATTGTTTTATAAACATATTTATTAATAGGGCGGAACTACGATATTTCAATTTTGGGAATATTGCATTTATTTCCATCGCCAGTGAGAGAAAAAGTACCAAAAGTGGCGTAAATATGGGAATTTTAAATCTATTTAATCTCATTGAGTCAATTTTTATGTGCTTTTTGAAACTCGGATTCCAAGTCCTACTTAGGACCAAACTTGGGTGAATAATTTGGTACTTTTGAATGGTACTTTTCACAAAAGCAGAATTTACAAGAATTTTGAAATACTTGGCTCCGATTGGAAGTAACTGTTCGGTACTTTTTTGTTTTTTTAATCGGTACTTTTTAAATTTTTCATAATATTGAACATAGAAACATAAAATCAAACACCATTCATTTTCATTGCATCGGAACCTATTCTGGTATATTTCGTCTATAAAATGGTACATCTTGGCTGACTTCCAAAACGTCAGTTGCTTTGTGTACGAACAAAGTATAGTGTTTCATAACGCCGCAGTACAAAATATTGACAATGCATACTGTTTCAAAACGTCATCGACAAGTATTAGAAACGCAGCGATATGGCAATCAGAGCATCAGTTTTAAAGTTGATGCTTGTTGAACTTATTTGCTAAAACTACACAAACAGCTGATTTACTAAAAACAATACTTTGCATCTTCTATATTTTAGAACGTGAAAATAAACAAAGCATCGTTGCAATGTTTTGAAACTTTACATGTGTACTAGATATAAATACCGCAATAAAATTGTATTCAAACTTTGTATTGGTACGTTTTGGAAGTCAGCCCTTTTATTGAACTAAAATTAAATATACAAATTTCTAAAAATCTGTACTATTACTTAATTGATACCTTTTATAACCACCATCAAAAAAGATGAGGCGGTATATTGATTTTGTCATTTCATTTGTAACACATCGAAATATTAGTCATAGACCCACAAAAGTATGTATATTCTGAGTCCTTATTAAATTCTAAAATGATCTAGCCATGTCCGTCCGTCAATCCATCTGTCCGTCTGTCTGTTAAAATCACGATAGGGACCACACGGAAGGAGCTAGACAGTTGAAATTTTGCATAAATATTCTTTTTTGCTAAGGTTTGTTCGGTAATGTATCGGTCCACGTTTCCAAAAAAAAAAAAAAAAAAACAGCTTTAATGGGCATTACTGTTTTAGAAGTACGAGTATAGCGATGAAATTCGACATAAATAAGTTTCATATGAGCCAAATCTTTCTACCAAATTTTTTGAGGATCGGTCCATTATTGACCCTATCCATCATATAAGGTCCCCTTCCGAAATTGAGTGTTAACATTACTGGCCCAAAAATGCGAGTAAAGCAATGAAATTCGTTATAAGTAAGTTTCTTACGAACCAAAACCTCTCTACCAATTTTTTTTGGATCGGCCCATAAATGACCCTACCCCCATATAAGGTCTTTTTTTGAAAATGACTTTAACAATCATTACTGGCCTAAAAATTCGAGAAGAGTGATGAAATTCTGTATAAGTAAGTTTCTTATGAACCAAAACCTCTTAACCAATTTTTTTTAGGATCGGCCCATAAATGACCCTAAACCCCATATAAGGTCCCCTTCTGAAAATGACTTTAACACCTTTTCTGGCCGAAAAATTCGAGAATAGCGATGAAATTCGGTATAAGTAAGTTTCATATGAACTAAAACCTCTTTACCAATTTTTTTAGGATCGGCCCATAAATGACCCCACCCCCATATAAGGTCTTTTTTTGAAAATGACTTTAACGATCATTACTGGCAAAAAATGCGAATATAGCAATAAAATTTGACACAAGTAAGTACCTCGCGAGGCAAAATCTCTCTACCAAATTGTATGTGGATCGGTCATTAATGACCCTACCTCTACCCCATATAAGGTTCCCTTCAGAAAATTATTTAAACGATCATTGCTGGCTTAAGAATACGTGTTATGAAATAAGGTTTTGAAATTCGAAATAATAAACTTTTATATAAACGTTAATCTTGTCACCGAATTTCATGTGGAATGTGTGGATAACTCACCCTATCCCCCATATAAGCCCCCTTCAGAAAATTACTTGAACGCTAATTACTGGCATAAAAATGCGAGTACAGCGTTGATATTCAATGTAATCAAATATCACCCTGATATTTATAGGGAAGCGTTCCTTTTACGGCATACGGTTGGATGGTGGGTATATGAGATTCGGCACAGCCGAATATAACACTCTCACTTGTTTGTTCTTCAAATGACACTTTCTAAATTTTCTACAATATGAAACCAAAACATATTAAAATAAAAAACTACATAGTCTGACTATCTAAAAGGCTACTTTTTGATAAATCTCCTGCCATAAAATAGAAAGATCAAATTAAACATATATTGGTACACATAAACAGAATCATATAGAGTTTTTATTGTGACGAAAATGTTTTATTTTAATAAATTTATAAGAGCATACACATGATATCTTTTTATACATTTATACGCAAAATTTAGGATTACTTTTTACTTCGATAATAGTAGCTAAGCACCCAGAATATGATAGAGGATTATTCCACTTTCGCCTATAAATGAAAAACAATCCTATCGAATTCCACTTATCTCTTGCAATCAATTTGATTGGAAAATTTGGTATTAACAAAAAATTTAAATAACTAATGGGTAATTTAATTAAAACACCTTAATTGAGTTTAAATGTAAATAACATTTTAAATAGAGTAATGATAACATTGTCAACAACAAGGATTTCAAGAAGGTTTCTGTAAAAAAAACATCTGAATAAGAGTCATCCAGAAGACCACTAGAGGCAAAGAGAGGGAGAATTTCCTTAAATATAATAATAACAACAAGCTATAAATTAACTAATGAACCTCTTATCAAAATTAAATTCAATAGTTGCACAAACACTTTGACAAAGTAATACAATCAATATACACACACACAAGCCCAAACATCTGATATCCGTTTCAACAAACTTAATATTAGAAAATTAAATATACTACACACCTTACAAACAACAACCAACAAAGAATGTTATTGTAGTAGTTGTATTTTTAGGAAAACACCTGTCGTAAGTGTCGTTTAATTTAACAACTACTGATTGCGATATAAATACTTGTAAAGAACGTAGGTGGGGGCTATTCAAGAATTGGCAGTTCAATAAAACCACTATAAACAGACTAATTAACAGAATATATATATATATATATATGTGCATACATACAACATATTAGGATTAAATTATGTTTGAATTTAAGTGATTAGTTTTCATGTTTGTATAAATACTGAATGGATATCGAATTTTGTAACCATATTAGACAATAGACTAGATTATAGACTATAACTATACTATAGACTATACTAGACTATAGACTAGACTATAGACTAGACTATAGACTAGACTATAGACTAGACTATAGACTAGACTATAGACTAGACTATAGACTAGACTATAGACTAGACTATAGACTAGACTATAGACTAGACTATAGACTAGACTATAGACTAGACTATAGACTAGACTATAGACTAGACTATAGACTAGACTATAGACTAGACTATAGACTAGACTATAGACTAGACTATAGACTAGACTATAGACTAGACTATAGACTAGACTATAGACTAGACTATAGACTAGACTATAGACTAGACTATAGACTAGACTATAGACTAGACTATAGACTAGACTATAGACTAGACTATAGACTAG